CCTTCCTTCCTTCCTCCCTCCCTTCCTTCCTTCCTTCCTTCCTTCCTCCCTCCCTTCCTTCCTCCCTCCCTTCCTTTTCTTCCTTCCTTCCTTCTTTTCTTCCTTCCTCCCTTCCTTCCTTCCTTTCCTGCCTTCCTTCCTTCCTTCCTCCTTTCTTTCCTTCCTCCCTCCTTCGCTTCCTTCCTTCCTTCCTTCCTTCCTCCCTCCCTTCCTTCCTCCCTTCCTTCCTTTTCTTCCTTCCTTCCTTCCCCATGATTTATCAACCCTGCCTGTCTGCAATGTCCCAACAAGATTGAGCAGACTCTTGGGAAGTCCTATTTCCTGTCCTCCGCAGGGAGAACGTCCACATAAGCTCTCGCTAAACCAATAACCACACAAAACCCTCGGCTGCACCGCAGTTGAACCTGCCAACCTGTGGCCATACAGGAAGCTGAAGAAGATAAAAAAGAGGGCGATCATATCGGGAATGGCATATATATAGAGAGCCTAACGCCCAAAGGCACACAGTAACTGGAGAACTGATTTAACTGGCTAATTTCAGCTGAATTAAGCTTGCCCAGCACAGTATTTCAAAGGATTGTCCCTCGTTTAGGATTACAATATGGTGCTTCTTTACAACATGGTTTGCTCCATTTGGCGACGATGCACAATAACTACAGAAAGCAGTTTTAATGACAAGCAACATTAAATCCCCCTAATTTCAAAGCCGTTTAGTTAGGGCTAATTTGCACTAAAAGCTACCAGTGAATTCTAGGAACAACTTCCTTAGAAAACTGCTTATTTACTCATTAAATTAATATGTCTATTAAGCCCTCACTCTGTTTCTTTCCTAATGGAAGCCACACAGGTACATTTAAGGCCTTCCGAATTAGGTTAGTTACAGGTAGTCCTCAGGTTACGACGACCATTGAGCCCAACATTTATGTTGCCGAGTGAGACATTTCTTAAGAGAGTCTCGCCCCATTTTTACGACCTGTCTTGCCACAGTTGTTAAGCGAATCATCACAGTTGTTCAGTTAGTCACGCGGTTGTTAAGTGAATCTGCCTTCCCCGTCGACTTGGCTGCTCAGAAGGTCACAAAAGGGGATCACGTGGCCCCGGGGACATGGCGGCTGTCATAAATCTGAGTCAGTTGATCATGTGGCCATGCGGATGTTCCAATGGTCGTAAGTGTGAAAAACGGCCCTAAGCCACTTTTGTCAGTGACGTTGTAACTTTGACCAGGCACTAAATGAGCTGTTGTAACTCCAGGAATGCCTGAAGTGGTAGAGGGTCTCCTGCTTGAGGAGGAGGGGTTGGACTAGAAGACCTCCAGGTTCCCTTCCAACTTTGTTATTCTATTAATCCGTGGAACAGCTTGCCACCAGAAGTTGTGGGAGCTCCATCACTGGAGGTTTTTAAGAAGAGACTGGACAGCCACTTGTCTGGAATGGGATGGGCCAGTGATGGCGAACCTATGGCACGCAGAACCTTCTCTGGGGGCAAGCCAGCCGTTGCCCCAGCCCAGCTCTATCGCGCATGCGCATGCCCCTCCCAATGTCCAGCGGGTCTTCAGGTCTCTGCCACCCATGCACAGGGGGCATGTGGGGGAAGGAAGATAGATAGATAGGATGGATAGATATGATAGATAGATAGACAGACAGACAGCAGATAGATAAGAGAGAAGTTAGATGGGTGGGTAGACAGAGATTATAGGATAGATAGATAGATAGATAGATAGATAGATAGATAGATAGATAGATAGATAGATAGATAGATAGATAGATAGATAGATNTGGTTAAATGCAGCACTGCAGGCTACTTCAGCTGACTGCAGTTCTGCAGTTCAGCTGTTCAAATCTCACCGGCTCAGGG